ACCCATTGTTATTATGTTTGAGCCCATTGTTGCAACCACTGTGTCAATACATCTATTGAAGGATTTTATATATCTATATCTATATATATCTATATAGATATAGATATAGATATTGTGATAGTCACCTAATCTGGTGTCAATTTAAGGATTAAGAGTGTAGGGGTAGTGTCTAGGCTGTCAATCTGGAGATAGCCAATGAGACTTCTATGGGCATGGTCTTCTGAGAATTCTGGGAAATCTGGTTACTTCCTCCTTGGGGGCGGAAGACACCTACCTCTCTCTCTTTCTGCTACTCCCTGGGAGACAATTGCAGAAGACAAGCCACATGGACACAACCAGACCTTGGAAGCTGGAGAAGCCACGGAAAGACCCCTGCCAGTGCTGAGATGTTTCCAGTGACACTGGATCCAAAGACTTTTACCCACTGGCCTGTGATCATCTGCATTTGGCTTCATTGCATGTGTTTTGTGAGTCTGAAGAGGACTTTATAGATTGATATCAGAATTATGGGCTAATATTGGACTTTTGGACTTGATCTGGACTGGGCTGGGATGTTTTCTCAAGGTTCAATTGCTCTTGTATATAAATCTTTTTCTTATAAACATGTGTGTCCATGGATTTGTTTCTCTAGTCTACCCAGACTAACACATTAATATATATATATATTTATTTATTTATTTTGCTGCCCCTTGACCCTACAAAGCATGATGTCCTTCTCCAGGGACTGGTCTCTCCTGATAATATGTCCAAGGTAGTAAGACAAACTCTTTCCATCTGTGGTAGTTACATAATCTGGTGCCAATTTGAGGATTAAGAGTGTAGAAGTGGAGTCTAGCCTGCCAATTGGGATATAGCCAATGTGGCCTCTGTGTGGGCATGGATTTCTCCTGAGGATTCTGGGAACCCCTGTTTTTTCTTCCTTAGAGGCAGGAGACACTGTCTCTTTCTCGGCTCACTCCCTGAGAGACACTTCACTGAAAAGACACGTGGCACTACACTGATAGACCCCATGCTCTGGGAACTAGAAGAACCACGTGGAGACCCCTGCCAGCACTGAGACGCTTCTATCACCACTGCATCCACAAGACTTTGCACCCACTGGCCTGTGATCTTTCTGCATTCATTGTCATAGCATATGTTTCGTGAGTCTGAAGAAGACTTTATAGATTGGTATCAGACATATGGGCTACTATCAGATTTATGAACTTGATCTGGCCTGGGCTGGGATGTTTTCTCAATATTCAACTGCTCTTGTATATAAAGCTCTTTCTTATATACATATGAGTCTCCCTGGATTTGTTTCTCTAGTCTAACCAGACTAACACACCATCCTTGCCACCAAGGAGCACTCTGACCATATTTCTTCTAAGACAGATTTATTTGTCCTTTCGCTAGTCCATGGTACTTTTAATGTTCTCCTCCAGCACCACAATTCAAATGCACAGATTCTTCTTTGGGATCCCTTGTTCAATATCCAACTTGCACAAGCATATGAGGCAATGGAAAATACCATGGCTTGGGTCAAGTGCACCTTAGTCCTCAAAGTAACATCTTTCCTTTTCAATACTCTAAAAAGATTTTATACAGCAAATTTATTAATGCAACACCTTTTCATCTCTAGATTGCTGCTTCCATGACCATCGATTCTGAATGCGTAAGACAAAATACTTGACAACTTCCACCTTTTCTCTATCAGGATGTTATCTAATGGTCTAGTGATGAAGTGTTTCTAAAGATGAGGAAATTCTTCTAGATACAGTGACTGTGCATTCTTTTCATCTTCCTTTGATGCTTCCTGCATCATTCAATATTTGGCTCATAGAATCTTTCAAGATTGCAACTTGAGGTATGAATTTTTTCTTGAGTTCTTTCAGGTACAGATATGCTGAATGTGTTCTTACCTTTTGGTTTTCTTATTCAAAGTCTTTTCATATTTCATTGTATATTTGCCTTTATCTTTTTGATGTGCCCTTTAAATTTTTCTGTTCAGCTCTTTGACGTGATTAATTCTTCCATTTCCTTTAGCTACTCTACAATTAAGAACAGATTTCAGAGTCTCTTCTGACAATAACTTTGATCTTTTCCTTCATTCTTGTCTTTTAAATGGCCTTTTGCCTTCTTCGTGAATGATGTCTTGATGTCCTTCCACAACTCATTAGGTCTTTTGTCATTAGTGTTCAATCTGTTCAATCTCTTCTTGAGATGTTCTCGAAATTCAGGTGGTATTCTGGCTCTCATGAACTTGTTTTAATTTTGTTCCGCTATAACTTGACCTTCATTAGAGAAATTGATGGTCTGTTCCACAATCAGCCCCTGGCCTGCTTTTAGCTGCTGATTTTGAGCAGCTAAAATAAGTGATGTCATTGCTGATATCAGGTGGATCTTGGCTGAGAGCAGAGAATACTAGAAATAGGTTTGCTTTGTTTTATTGACTATGTCAAAGCATTCAGCTGTGTGGACCATAACCAATTATGGATAGCCTTGAGGAAAATGGTAATTCCAGAATTACCATTTCATGTGCTCTGCTTCATTGTGCTCATTTGTAACCTGCTCATAGGTCAAGATGCTGTTCTACAAATGGAACAGAGGAATAATACATGATTCAAAATCGGAGAAGGTGTGTCAGGGTTGCCTCCTCTCCCCATACTTGTTCAGTCTGTATTCTGAGAAAATAATCAGAGAAGTTGGATAATATGAAGAAGAATGTGACATCAGGAGTGTAGGAAGGCTTATTAACAGATGGGACAACCATGCTGCTGAAAGCGAGGAAGACTCCCCATATTTGCTGATAAAGATGAAGGCTTTCTGCCCACAGTATGGATTACAACTCAATGTAAAGAAGACCAAGTTCTCACAACTGCACCACCAGGTAGCATGCTGATAACTAGAGAGAAGGTTAAAGTTGTTCCAGAGTTCATCTTGCTTGGATCTACAATACTGCTGTGGAAGCAGTAGTCAAGAGATGAAAGCATGCATAACGTTCAGACAAGATGTCGTCGTTAAAGTGTTGAAACAAGAAGGTTGCTTTGAGGATTAAGTGCGTCAGATTCAAGCCATGATATTTTCTATCGTTGCTTGTGAAAGTTGGACACTGAATAAGGAAGATCAAAGAATTATTGCATGAGAGGCAAGGCTGGTAAGACTTCATCTCATGTTCCTTGGACATTTTATCAGGAGAGACCAGTCCTTGGAAAATGGACATCATTCTTGGCCAAATGAAGTAAAAAAGAGGAAGCCTCTCAATAAGATGGATCAACACAATGGCTGCAACAATGGGATCAAACATAAGAGCAATTGTTATGAATGGCACAGGACTGGGCGAGGTTTGATTCTGTTGTATATAGAGTAGTTCTGAGTGGTAATTGTCTTGATAGTTCCTAACATCACCACCATTCCAAATTGTTTCCCCAAGTGGTAGTATCATTTAATATTCCAATCGCTCTACATGTTTACCAATATTTGGTGTTGGGCTGGGGTGTCAAGAGAAACAAACCAGTGGCACTCATGTATGTATCAGAATGGGCCAATGGGTGCAGGGTTAGGTGGATCCAAGATTGGTCGAAAAATGGCAGGGTGCCGAAAGCGCTCAGTGCTGTGTGGCCCACATGTGGCCTCCCCTGTAGGCAGGCAGTCTGAGCAAACTGGAAGATGGAAGGACAGAGAAAGAGGAGCGTCTCCGTTTTTCCCTTATAAGAAGAAAGTATCATTAGGCTGTAACCTGATTGACAGGTTGAACTCTGCCCATACAGTTTCATACAAATTCTAGTTAACATAAAATCATCCAACTACTACACTTGGAATGCTCACTCTTGTATCAATAAGTGGGAGTGCATTGGTATCTAGTTTGGGTTTTAGTTAGAATTTTCCTAATGACAAATGGTGTTGGTGATATTTTCACGTGCTTATTAACAAGTGACCACCAACTCTTTTGGGTGGACATTGGACTATGATCTGCAAAGTCAGAATTTCAAACCCACCAGTCACTCAGTGGGAGAAAGAGAAGACTGCTTCAATAAAGGGTTACAGTCTCAGAAACTGGAATCAGCCAGAGGGTTTGGGTTTTTGGGGTTTTACCATGTTATATCTTCTTTGGTGAAGTTTCTATACCTGCTCACATTTAATTGAATAGTACTTTTCTTATAATTTCTTGTCTCTTTTTATAGATTGTTGATGCTGGACTGTTGTCAGGCATATATTCTACCAATATTTGTTATCAGCCTATAATTTGCACTTATTTATTTTAAAAATCATTTTATTGAGGGCTCATACAACTCTTATCACAATCCCTATATCCATCCCCTGTGTCAAGCACATTTGTACATTTGTTGCCATCATCATTTTCAAAACATTTTCTTTCTACTTGGGCCCTTGGTATCAGCTTCTCATTTTTCCCCTCCCTCTCCCACCCTCCCTCCCTCATGAACCCTTGACACCAGGAGGGGAAGGGGAATGTGTTAGACAGGGTTCTCTAGAGAAACAAAACCAGGACACTAATACTTTTATATATATTTATATAGATAGATAGATAACATAAGAAATAAAGTTCATTAATCTATAAAGCAGTACAAGTGGCTCAGTGCAACTCACTTCCATGAGACAGCTAGTACACTGGCAGTCCTTCAAGTCTTGAGGGCCCCCGGGTAGTCCTCTGTGGAGCAATTCAGGCTCTCCGGCCACAGGCAGCAAACAGCAAGCAGGTCACCAACAGTCAGCCAGATGACAGGGCCTGATAATCCCCAGCTCAAGAGATGTACCTTCCAGTAGCGTGGCGAAGCAAGACTTGAAGGAACCTCAAGTTACAGTGACACAATCCACGGGTTAGGTGTCCCACAGGTAGTGTAGCTTGCAAATTGAGGCACAGAGCAAGCAAGGCAGCTGCACACCACAGGGAAGGTGGGGGGATAAAGGGGGAACCGATCACAATGATCTACATATAACCCCTTTCCCAAGGGGCTGGACAACTGAAAAGTGGGTGAATGGAGATATTGGTCAGTGTAAGACATGAAAAAATAATAATTTATAAATTATCAAGGGTTCTTGCATTTTTGTTTTTAATATATTTGAATGACAAAAGATTTTAATTGTGATGAATACCAATATCTCTTCGCTTAGATATTAGGTGTGTTATGTTTATATATATGGGAAAATCATTGCTTAGGTTATCTCCTAATTTTTCTTCTATGAGTTTTATGGTTTAAATTCTTCTACTTTTTTCCCTGTAACTTTAATCGGAGCAATGGTATTCATGTTATTTAACTCTCTTTTATAAGCACCAAATCTTAATAGTGAAGTCAATTTTGGGAAAAGAACTTCCCTTAGAAACAAAATAATGATGCTCATGCCTCCAAATATTCAAATTGAAGATCTACCAAAGTCAAAATCAAATTGGTGGTGGTGGGTGGTAAACAAAAATCTTATTCTAGGGGTTCAGTGCATGTAGCTGCCTCGACTGTGCTGCTAGACCATCCTTAAACTGACTTAAAAAAAAGACCACCCTTGTGCATCAAACTATACATTTTCCATTTGTTTTTTTTAAATTAAAGATAATAATAATAAAGAAAAAAAAACTTAAGGAATTCGCAACCAACTGCCCAACTCATTCGGATGCCATCCAACGTGTGGAGGTCACGCATGCTGGGTGACGTTCATCTTCACGGCTTAGTCGTCTTCCACACGGTGTAAAACACCCACAGTTCCAGGTACGAAGGGACGCAGACGATCTCCTTGGAGAATCCCACAGGACAATAGAGGCGCCCGAGCTGTTCTTCGTAGAGAGCCAGGGCTTCCGTCAAATTGACACAGTTCCCCTGTGTGAAGTATTTCCCATCGTGTTTCAAGACTTTCATTGAAAGGTCAAGAATCAGTCTGAGAAACTCCCAGGTGGAATCTTCCTCGGGAGACGTGGAGATGGGCACAGCCGTCAAATCATTAATCACATAATCAAACATCCTCCCTTCTTGGGCGTACCTCTTCAGGACAGGAATGCAGTCTGCTACGAGGACCCGATAGCAGTCCCCTTGAAGGTGGTCTAAGACCTCGCCGCATGCTTTGCGCATGAATTTCTTACACGCATCGATCACCATCTGGTCGATCTCTACCATCGTGACCATCTTGGGCTTCAGTTTCACTACTTCGCATAAAATGCCCCCATCGCCACCGCCCAGAATCAGGACGTCTTTGCCGGCGTAGTCTTCGTTGCCACCGCCCATAATGGCCCGGGTATACGCCCCGTCACTCTCGGCCAAATTGACGTCCCCGCTGAGGATGAGAACATTCCCAAATTGCTTCGAGTGTAGAATCTTAATGTTCTGATACGGTGAATCCTCCTCATACAGCACCTCGTCGATGTCATACTCCACCAGGCGCCCGTCGGCAGTGGGCCAGTACCTGTCGACGGCTCCGCCTCGGACGATGGGTGGCAATCGCTTCACCCTCGGCGCCCTCGGCTGACTCAGCTCCTTCATTCGTTCTTCTACTTTGTTCAGAAGACTGTCAAGTTCTTTGCTGCCTTGCGCATCGCCGTCGGAACTCTGAATGTCCAGCAACACCAAGCCGTGGGGGTAAATTCTCAAACTGGCAAAGCTGCCATTTTCGTTGGTGTAGGTTGCTAAGCAGCCATGGGCCGGCCAGGTGTGCACCGACTCGCTCATTCCCTGCGCTCGGAAAATGGGCTGCAGGCCTTTGAGAATGGTTTCGCCATCCGCTGTGGCGCCGAGCGAGAAGTCCAGGGTGCTGTGCCGTGCGGCCGCCATAGTGCAGCGGAGGCTTGGGTCCGGCCTGGGAGGCGGCGGCGGAAGAATGCGGCGGCGGG